AGCTCTTGTAATTCAACATGCGTTTCCATTCCTTTTACAACCTTTACTGACATTTCAACTTATCTAAGTGCATCAAATCCCCCACAGCAGGTCTCATGCAAATAACAGAACAACAACAAATTGCACAAATACAGTGTACAATTTTCAGTACACACCTGAAGAAGTATGCCATTGCCAGAGAGATGTTTTTTTTTTTTTTTTGTTATGTTTTTTTAGCAAATCTGGGATGTCTATGCAGTAAAAGATGCAAATACGTTTGAAATTGGTGCTATATGGCCAGGAAAAAAAGGGCTGTGGTATTTGGGGTAGAAAACCTACAAGTACCAGATTGCACTGTGCAGATATTGATAATATAATACGAGTTGCCTGTCTGAAAACAAACAAGAAACTATCTTGAATTACAGTAAAAAAAAAGAAAAAAAAAAAAAAGAAAGCTAAAACAGAATCTTGGTTTGTATTTGATCAGCGCTGCTTTGTATTATCATTTGATCACCAGATTCACCAGCCTACAATAGCCTAATTCCTGTTCACAAACTCTTGTTTTACAACAAAACAGTGCACTAAATTATCATAAACATAAACTACCGCACACTGAACTAAATTACTGTGATTTCATTGAGAGTGTTTCGCCCATGGCTTCTTCAGGTTTGCTCAAGCTGAAATATATTTCAGTCAGGACCACTTTACTCAAAGAAAACTTTATTTCCATTTGCAGTATTATATTTGGTGGTATGGCTCTGTTCTGGGGCCTCTCCGCCTTTCCTCGGGCCTACACAGAAAGCCCTTCCACATGCCTGTGTGGAAACCCTAAGGCAGAGAGAGCAAACCTCCCTGCCCTTCCATGTGTCTATATGGAAAGCCCAAGGCAGGGAGCAGACCCCCAGGGAACAGAACAGAGCAGCATCAGTGACAAACAGAAATGACATTGATAAGTCAGACACAGCATGAAAAGGAGGAGCTGGGGTGGAGGCGGGTTGCAAAGTGACCTGCAGAGGAAGCAGCAACAGTAGGCAGGTCAGAGCAGTTTAAATAGGGCACCCTGAATGAGATTTGCATATTGTTTGCATAGAAAGGAATCATGTGATCTATCAGCTGCTCCATCAGTTGATTTTAGGCGATACAGTAACAGAATCTTGGTTTATATTTGATCAGCACTGCCTAGTTTTAATGTTTGATCTGAGTTTCCTCAGAGTTTGAGACAAAACGATCCACTTCTGTACTCTTTGTCAGTGGTGGCAGGCATACAAAAATCCAGAAGTAGATCTGGACGCCAGTAAGATGGAGGGAAGTTTACCACAGTTCATTTACACATACTACCCATATTGTTATGATACAAAGCTGGTTGAAAATCGGCAAAGTCTCCCTTTATGTGCTTTCAACTCCCTTACAATATGTCACATGCAAATAATTAACATTTTAAGATATTCAAACTTGCTTACAGTGTGCAATTTTCTGTGTGCACTCAAATGTTTTTCAGAAAATGTAGCGCTAAATGTTATCTCATTACAGGGTCATACTCTCATTTTCCAGCTTTTTGGCAGTCTCCTTATTTTCCAGTGTGACAAACCCCCACCCATTTGGCACCAACGTAGCCTAAAATAAACCATAGAGAGTATTTAAATCATCTCTGAGACTCAGGTCTGACATGAAGATAAAGCCCGCTCTCCAGGCATCCTTTCTTCTCTGAATGCTGACCTTTGGCTGAACGGTAGTTCAGCAGCAGTGCGTGGTCAGTACAGACCTCATACTTAATAAGAATTATGAGCAGTGACACAATTATATATCCGCGTAATGTCCAAACCCTGCCATGCTGTGTCTTGCAGCATTTTGGACTCATTATAAAATAGCCGACCGGTCCAGGCCACTTGTTTTGACAGAAAGAGGTCCACCACAGCACTGGCACATGTCCTTATGTGTGGCGTCCACCAAGACTAACTACTCGTGACAGTGCCAGGAGTGTGTGTGTGCGTCTGTGAGAGTGCACATTAAGTCCGAGGGGAAGCATGCCTAATGTGGGAGAGAAACAGTGAATCCAACATGGCCACTAGCCAGCGTCAGTGTTCCCTTCTTGGAGAATTAGCCTGTCAATCTGTCCTAATTCCTGAGGACACAGGCTGCTCTTAAACCCAGGATGAGTTTAAACCGGAGAGACTGACTCTCAACTGTTTTCTCAGGATTGGGTGCAGACAGGCATGCTGGCAGAATGAGTGGCAGGTCAGGCCGCACTGGAGAGCAGAGCTGCTGCACAAATACAAGTCTAGTCCAGGGTCAAGCTGACACTTGACAGAGTGTGGTTACACTTTTCGCTCAGTTAGTTGCATGATTGCGTGTTTCTGGGTGAGCATGCAGAAGATTAGCATACTCACCCCTCTGCATTAAAGATGTCAGACACACAGCTTGGCAAACCACCTCAGATATTGTGTGTGCAGGAGGATTTAACAGTATAATTACTGGGCACTGTTAACACTGAGATCATGGAGGGAAAAACCTGGCACCATCATGCATATTTAGTTTCACCTCCAAACTTTACACCATTGTTGTTGTTTATTCAGTCTGCTGCTGTCCTTACTCTGCAACTTGATATCTAGCCGTCACTGTTCATGGGCTTAAATGCAGCTTCTGGACACATCATATAAGTTTCTGAGGACACATACAACTACAGGAGACTTGCTATATCATAATAAATATTGTAATCACAACACTATACAGATACTGTGACCACTGTTATAGCAGTTCCTATTGACACTGTAACCATGGACATTAGTTTTTTCTTGATCGCTTACAAACATTTACCAAATCATGGATCACTTAATCTAATTTCACACTTTCAGCTGTCAACCAAATGTCTTCTCTGGCACATGGCTGAGCTATTTCTTATTGCTTTCAAATATTTTCTTTGAGTTTTAACGCACTTCTCAAAGAGAGAAGCGAAACCTAATTGAAAAAACATGTCAACACATAGCTAACACTTAGTAGCAGCCTCCTGAACCTGCTCTTAAAATTCTCAATGTCATCAGCACTTGTGTGAACTCTGTGCACAATTCACTGTTTACAGTAGCTTTCAACCTATGAAAGACATACGTAGATTGAAGTTAACTGCATATTAAACTGTTATTTTGATTTCTTACATGTAATGTAGAAAAAGATCTACAATACCTATTTTTTGTGACATTCTTTGCCATTTTTGTACACATAAGAACAAATGTAAACCAATGATGTTGACAGTTCCTTGTTTCCAATATCCTTTACAGTTCTGTTCAGTAATACAACTACATTATTTTACTGTATACATTTTTTATAGAGATTTCAAATACGCTCTGACAGTATATTCCCTAAGTGAGAGCGCTCTGTATAAAACCCAAAGTATAATCTGGCTGTCAGAGGTAAAACAATAGAAATAGAATGAGAGTAGAATGGACATTCCCATTCAGGTCAACATAGTAGGATGGTCACAGTGGCAGCCATTTTCATGTTATGGTGAAAAGTGCAAAGAACTGTGACTGGCCGAACTTCCATATAAAGAGTTTTGTAGCAAGGTGTGAACTCAATGAGTTAAGGTTTTGTAGTGACGACCAAACAAGCAGTGGAGTAGTATGAAGCATGGAGAGGTGTCTTTAGTTCACCATCTAAATTGATTACAGGCCCAGGCTACACAATAGGCATCAACAAGTGACAGACAAAAGGAAATCACCATCTTAGTGTGCATGTTTTCTTTTAAACTAGTCAAATGACCATAGCAAAAAGTTCAATGTCCATTCTACTCTCATTCTATTTATATGGGTAAAACAGAGTCAATATTGTGAAGGTGCTGAACAACAGTTGAAGTGATGGTTGCAGAGGTGGACACTGAAAGCTGTAGTTTGAATTTTGTCATCCATTGTTGAGAAAACTAATTTTCAACTGAGGGCAAATTGTAGGTTTTGATGGAAATGTTTCAATGTGTGTGACAAGTTTTGACAAGATGGTGTCATTTTGCAAACAACTCGCTGTTTTTGTCATTGTGTTTTCTGATAAGGGCTGTGTGTGAGCTGTGAATGGAAAAACTGTATGACAACAGTCAACTCTATTACTTTTAATTAGGGTTGTCAGCGTTAACACGTTCATCGAGATGTGATTAACGTCCGAAAATAACATTCTTTAAAAAGTGTTAATCGCATATGCTGATATTTTCCCTGCTGCCTGTGTTTCAGAGGCTATAGATGGCATTTTAAAGTTTAGAGTTTTAAAGTTAGAGTGATGATACAGGTATCATATGAAACTAGAAGACCTGAGGAATCCAGTGGTATCAACCATGTTATGCTAGAGTTATAATAACGCTCTAAAGTTAGGCTGAATTGTGGTGAGGGAAAAACAACATGGCCATTTTCACCGAGGCCCCTTGACCTCTCACATCAAGATATTTGAATGAAAATGGGAACTTTAGGTACCCGTGAGTCTCCCCTTTACAGACATGTCCACTTTATGTAAGTCCCAGACAGGAGTGCAACTTTTAAATTGCACCAATCTTGCTCAAAGGGGCTAAAATACACACTTGTCAATTAGATACAGTCTGAGAGTACTGTGAACCCCAAAAAGCCATGGCAGATGCAACATTAAGATATCTAGAGTTACTTTGGAGCAAACAATATTACCAGCAGTATCTGTTAAATCTGCATACTGTTATACAGCTAAGTGGAGCTAGCTGGCCTGCCTGCTGGCAGCAGCTCAGCTGAGAGCTGGGCTGCTGTTGACACTCTGTCTGAGGGCGAGAGGCCACCAGCGTTTGTGTTCTGCCGGCTCATGTATCTAACACCTGTTGCTTGGCCCAATTCAACACATCTCAACTCAAGCACTTGTCTCTGGGTGTGCATGTGTTTTGGGAGACAGAAGCTTACTACTGTATGTGTAAAAATGTACACAATTTGAGCCAGCAAGAGGACTCTCAATGCATTATTGCCCTGTTCCCAAAATCCAGCTGTTGGTGGATTCAGCCCACTATAGAAAGCCACAGAGTCCAAGCAGGGAGTATACAACCCCTTTATTTGGTTTAACCAAAAATAACAGAGTCAATATTAAAAGAAAAGCAAAAAAAAAGCTATAAATATTACAGACAAAAAACACTGAAATGAGAGAGTTCTTTGCTTCAAATAAACCAAGTGATGAAAAGTCTTTAATGTTTTGGTGTAGTGGAGTTTGGGGACAGGATGTAAGCAACTGACAACCACCTTCAGAATCACTCAACAGTCAAAGAGAACATGCTCTTCAAGTGGCAGCGCTGACATACATCTAAACCTGTGTCAGTTCAGAGCAGAGCTGTCACCTGTGTGCAGCACCACCACCACCATCATCATCATCATCATCATCATCAGGAACATCATTACTTAAGCGTACAGAATTGAAGATGGAAAAATCAAAGTGATGAATACATGATACCAAAATAACATTCGAGGGACCGTTCCCTGCAGGGAGTCAAATCAAACTAAAGGATGCAGAAGAAGTAAACCGAGAATGGATGTTGATAAATAAAATGTAACTCTTTGAAATAAAATGTGAATGAGACATGACTGATGAGCGAGGCCAGTGGGTGAATAGGTACGTACTGTACATATATAGTGAGTGAGTGCTGCATTGTTCCAGCCTGTGTAGAGCTAAGCATGGTGAGACTACAGGGAGCGGCAGCAGAAAGCACTTTCACAGACAGTGAAAAGACACACAGACATACATAAACAGAAACAGACAGACATTGCTGAGAGGTGTGTATTTACGTATATATTTAAAAAGGTGCAGTGGTGTGACGCTGTATGTGTTTAGGCGCGGTAAAGCAAGATCCTTTCAGCACAGTCCTGGCCAACCAAGCCGGCGTACTGCTGCACCTCCGTCTCGTCGCTGGATCCTTTGCGTTTGCGGGAGTAGGCTGCGTAGGGCATGACGGCCCGTCTGTATAGCACCAGAGCTCTGCCCACATCCTTCAGCACCCGAGCATCTCCTGGATCACAAACATGAGAACATAATAAGGAGCAGTGAAGACACATCGAGCACAATAAACATTGTCCTTATTTTCCCTCATTCTTATGAGTTAACCTCTGAGTGTCTTGGCGGGGATACACCATTATTCCGAGAAGCTGTTGGAGGAGCAGAAAGCATTCTTTCCCCCCACAGCACTAATTCCTCTATGCCCTAAACCTGGAGTCACGGTGCTGCGTGAGCAGGCTAGTTAGTTGGCCTTGTTTACGCGGCCTTGCTCCCTGCTGGCTTGCCAAACTCAGCATTTCATTAGGTCCTGTGTCATACACTGCCAGCTCCCATCAGACCAGTGAAAACACTGCTAATCTTAAAAGTGTGCATGTTCAGCAGCTAAGAATGGTCCTCTGGAGAGTTGAATGGAAAAATAGGGTAAAAAACAAACAAACGATGACCCTCGTTTTGACACTAAACCGCTGCCTCCAGGAGCGAGAGGTCGAGCCAAGCTGCCCACAGCTGGCGCCAAGAGGACATGCAAGGGGTAGCACAGCATGAAGCATCAGCTGAGCCAACTCCACCCAGATATACTGCACATATTGTGTAGATGCGAGTGGGTCTCAAAGTCAATTGTGAACGCTAATCATCTTCTCACTCCAGTCAGAATTGAGGAGTCCTTAATTTTCCGTCATTCACTGGAACTTGAGTAAGTATCTAATGTCAGCCTCTCCCCTATAAATGACATCCTCGCTCTAGTCTCTCTAATTGTCCTCTTAAAAAGCTTTTATCTCCCTCCTTAGCTCTTAGCTAAAGCCCTCGGCTCATCTTCTCCATGCACGCTGCTCTTTCACCAATTGCAAAATGTTTTAAATTTAAAAAGGTTGACTTGTGAAATGCACATCCCGTACACACAGTATTAGATTTAATCAGCCTGTCCTGTCTGGAGCATTCCTGGTCTGGCTCAGTTAAGAGGAAGCAGATGAAAATAAACTTGAGACCGAGACCAGCTTGCCAGGCCCATGGCGACACATCAGTCAAACAGGAGTGAGTTAGATTTGGTATTAATAGAGCTCAGGGCCTCCCACCCGCCACTACTGCTCCCCATGACAACACCCATGTGGCTCACAGCTGAGCACCCAGGTGGTATGAGTGATGCGAGTGTACATATTTCTGCCTAATTCCTCAAATATTCGCCACAGTGCGTAGTAAATCCCACCTGATCACCTAATAAACTGGGAAAACAAGACAACAGAGAGGAAAAACTGCGAAACTATGATGTAATGCCACAGACAAAGGTCTTTTCTCTGGTGCCAGATGTTAAAAGGGATCCCCAGTTTACAAAGCACTCAGAGGAACTCCGACTGAACCCTGGCTATTCGTGGGCTGGATGTGAACTGAAACTTGTTAAAAGCAATATGAGTCTGCTGTGATCAGTTAAAATGCTACAGGCATAAAGTATCATTGAAATAGACAATGACTAAATCAGGACAGCAGCACCAAGAGGAAATTTTGAGCTCCCACAAATGGGACTCACAGATGAGAGAGTTCAAAAAGTCATGTGGGTTTAGGTAAGTAACTATTCATGTATCACTATGGCATCTAACATCCACACTAATACATTTTTGATTTTAAAGTATTGCTACGCTTACATCTAGTGTCCACGCTACACTGGCATATTTGAACCACTAATGTTTGATCTATGCTTGACGCACTTGTCTGGGTTGCGAGGGTCCACACAGCCAAAGTGACATGCCACCATCAAACATGCCCCTTTGTGGGGGTCTTATGTGGCTGGTTTTTGCCTGTCCATGCACATTTGACATTTTCAAACTATGAGGACAGCTGAGGGCGAAAAAATGGAGAGCCTTGCTGTACACGTGAGTTTTTGATACACTTCCTCCCTTCAGTTTAGGAGAACATTGGTTTGCTGCGAGGAGAAACCCATGTATAAATGATCCAAATGTTTCCTCATCATGATTTTACATCTCCTCATGTCTGTGAGGAAAGCATGACTGAGGCTTGAAAGCTGTGCAGGTTGCCTTTTCGTCCAGATGGACAGAAACGATTATTGAAAACAGTGACACAGACACCAATGTTTGCTTTCCAATTGGGTCTTATCAGTCATGATGTGTCACGCCAAAACATTACAGCTACATAGGTTTTGTGATTTCATCCCATTTGTGTGGGTGCTCATTTCCCACTGGCATGGCTTTCTTTTGCAATGAATGATGCTCCCAGTACCACTCTAATAAGTCGCTTTTTTTGCTTAGCAACAACTCCCAATCTGTTTTCTAACCAGCTAACACTCATGTTACTTTCACTGTTGCCCTTGGTCATCGTTCGAAGCAAGTAAATCTCCGGTCTTACGTTTCACCGTTTCCATTGTATTGTCTGTAACTAAGTAACCAACCCCACAGCCCACAATCTGCTTCCTGTTTACACCAGCACGCGCATGCCCAGTATACATAATTAGGCATGTGATATGCATTTTCAGGTGTGTTAGTATGGACAGAGATATAAAATAAGTTTTTAATATAAAACTGCATCAGTGTGGATGCAGCAGACACTACCTGAAAAGCAAGCCAGAGGAAAGAAGCTGAGTATAACATAAAGCCCAGAGGCTTCTTAACTCTCTCCCCCCATCTCCATAAAGATATTTTCATATTTCAACTTTTTTATTTTCAAACTACCCTGTGGATTCATATTTTATTTATTAGCCTCATTTCCCTAATGCCCTAACCACTGGGTCTTCCCCCCTCTCTAAAAACTGCTGAGTCACATAATTGAAGAATACTTGATATAAACTTTTAAATGAAGAAAATCAGCAGTATGTAAAGTCTCACCATGCGGGGGGAAATGGATTTTAAAAGACGTAAACATGTTATGCAACTTCCACGACTGTAATTTCAGTCCATGAAGAATTAATGCGTCCTGATGGGATGAAAGTGAAAATGTTTAAACGTTCGATGCTTCCTTAATAACTTAAGCTGCCTTCAGCATTGTCTCTCTAAGCACTATGTGCCTCCTCATGTTCTTTATCAGTGTGACAGCCCACTTACACAACAGTTACGCAAAGGTACACTTGTCCACTCAAATGTGTGACACTGCTCTGAAGCACCACTGTCCCCTTGTGAAGATATTAAGTAGTGAACTTTTTACAGAGTAAAATGGATAGCAGCACGCAGCTTTGAGATGGTCTATTAACCTCAACAGTAATACTGAGCAGAGGCTCTATCGCTCCCTCTTACTCAAGGCAATCCAAACATCCGCTGCTCACATAAACATCTTTCACTGCTTCTTCACTCACTCCGTCCTCCATCAATGCCCTCTCCTCCTTTTGAGTAGCTCCAGACCCTGTTCCCGTCAGGCCCACCGGACGTTCAGTGACACGCCACTCTGAGGTCACAGCTCCTCGGGGTCAGGGGGTTCAGGGGTCGGGGGAAAGAGGAGTGGCGAGGGTCGGTCAGAGAGTGAGAGGGTCAGAGCTGAGGCTAGGGGCTTTGACACCTCGCCACGCTCCCCTCTCTCTTCCCATCCATCTCAAACTTTCAAAACACTTGCTTAACAGCGGACACTGGTCAAAGGCAGGCCATCGGGTTATGACCAGTTCCTATGACCCAATGTTGCAAATCCAAAATAGGGCTTATGTTTAAAAAGAGAAAGGCCAAAATGGTGGTGTAAAGTAGTGAATAAGAAGACTGCACTTTGACCAAAGGACCTGGGTTCAAGCCCTTGTGTTAGCACACATCCGACCAGCTGACCCTAAATCTCTGTAGCTGACCATAAATTTTGACCTCCGCAGTAAAGAAGGCAACAGGAGAATTCCCCTGAATTAAAGAGGATATTATCATTATTATTGTTATTAAAATAAGGGAAACGTTTTTCTGCATCACATATAATGCAACAAATCCGAGGAAGAAAAACTACCTCCTCCATTATAACACAAGAAAGAGAGGAGTGATATCTGTCACCTCTCCACTCTGAATGGGGAACATTAGCATGTGTCAGGCTAAGGAGCAGAGAGCCTGCTGAAGAGTAGGGCAAAGTGGCTCTGACATTAAGACAAGATATTAAAGTGTGTACTGTAAAAGCTAACATGGTCCCCCCCACTTAATGTTTTGGCCTCATTTTGCTCAGTTACTGTAGATCTCAAAGGATAGAAGAGAATATTCTATTTCAACATTTTAGGTATTTTACTAAATGCAACATACTGCAGTGTGTGTATGTAGTATGTAATTTTGTGCGTCTGGTTTGGCGCCTGCTGGACGCACTCCCAGTCCAGGGGGTGACTACTTGTGTCACACATTTTTGCAAGTGTTTATCCTGCTGAGCGGGCAATGCCCCTACTTCTTTCTCTGTCGAGCAAACACGAGATTATGAGTGTGTGAGATATAATACATATGTGCTGTGCTGAGTGTGTGTGTGTCTATGTGTGTGTGTGTGTACACACTGTATGTGCATTTGTTAGAGGCCACAACGAGGCCCTTGGGCTCTCGATGTGTCAGCAACAGGCATGTAATCAATGTGAGCCTGCTTCGGACAGAATTGTGTAAACTTTAGATTAGCTGTCTTTACACACCTCATTAAGACAGCTCTGTAACCCGGTCACCCTTACGATCTGAACGCACGCCCAGCACCCCAATTTTCATTCACCCCTGGGTGAGGCTTGGAGTTCAAGGGCCTTACAAGCGTGAGTTGGAATTAATGTGGACTTTGCTGGCAGTTTTGATGAAACTGAAATCTTAAACGTCATTTTATTCAAAGTTGTTTTTATCTGTTTGACTGTACAGATCCAGAACCTTTGTTCTGTATTACAAGCTTTACTATCCCTCTGTATATGGACATGACTGGAGATTGTACTGTCAGTAATAGTAATTGTTGGGGATTCTACTTGATTTGACAGTTAACCACTAGCACTCCGATAGGGATGAGTGAATGGACAAATATATCAGCTATCAGCTATTGGCTGAGCACATCACCGTTATTGGGTTACATTTACATGTTGCTAATTTAACGATCTGCCTCAGAAAAAATTAGTGAGAGTCGCTGCTCAGCGGGCAGAGGGAGACAGCGGGGAAAAACTGTGTGTAAAGCCAGCATATTGTCACATCTAACTCCGTGCATAAATGATTTATTTCAACCAAACCAGAGTTAGTGATTGTTCAAACAGTGGAAAGACTAACTAAGATGGTTTTGGTTTGTTTTATTTTGTTTTTGTCTGTCTGTCATCTGAGTGAGTTAGAGTAAAAAAGCTAAGAGAGCTAGTGGAATAAAGCAAACTTGCTTTTACACACACACACACACACACACACACACACACATACGCCTGAGCAAACATATTGGCAATAACAGGTTGTTGGGCTGACTGTGGCAAAATGGGAAAATTTTAACATATCACCCAATCCTACTCTCCAAGGCAATTAAAATATGACAATAAGACAAGTAACATGCCTTGAGTCAACTACTAGCAGATTTTAAGGAGAATTTTCTTCACACGCTGATCAATACTATTAAGAGTATAACATTTTTTAACTCGTTTTACAAACAGTTTGAACAGTTTTGGCTGTTTTTAAATGTAACCCTAATCCAGGGTCTACCAGGCTTTTCAACATGTGTCTCACCGTAAAACATTTGATTTATGTACCAAAAACTCAAATTGCAGGAACGATATTTGACAACCAGCAGGTGGTTGATATTAGTCAAGAGTCGGCAAACAAAACAGCGTGGCACTCTTATTTCATGGAAGCATGGTGAACAAACAGGCCAGAGTACAACATGTCATTGCCACAACACACCAAAATAAAACTTACTTCCTAAACCATACATAGGAGATTTCCACACTATTACAAGCCATCAGGACTTCCCCAGTATCCAAAAAACAGATGCAACATGTCTTTATGTCAGCCACAAACAAGCCACACGTTGGTAAACTGCCCATTAGGACTGGGCCACAAGCCTGTGCCATGCTGCTAACCTAACGATGACACTGCAGGCCGACCGGTGACTGGCTGACCACTGGGTGTTTTTCTAGAGAAGACAGAAACCTTCACACAACCACTAGAGCCTCGCACCACATAGTTGGCAACAGACCTGAGAGCTAACCATCCAGACAGCTAGCACTGAAATGTAATGACACTGCGTTTGGACAGCTAGGTCTGAAATAATGTCTGGACCCGTCCAAGATCAACAGTCCACGCAGGAATGGAGGCACCGCAAGAGCCACAGACACACAAACACACACTGGCCACAGTGAGAACGGCTACCTCTGAAACTGCCACTTTGTCCTCAGTAATTTGTGCCTACTTAGGGATTAGTGGTTACGATTGACAAGAAAAGGTCCGACCTACCACTGGCTAAGCTGTTAATGGCACCGTTGTAAATGACCAGCCTACTAATGGTCTTTTAAATGCCCTATTTCTCAAGGGTGTGGTGCTTTCATCAACACTTGAGTCAACAAGAAAGGCTAGCCAGGAAATAAAAAAGTAGGATCCTTATTTCTTTAAGACAAGTGTGACAATTTTGATTCTTAAATAAAGAACAAAGGAAAGGGGCATCTGCGCAACAGAACATTTTTTTCTCTTGACAGTTATCATTTGTGCTGGTTTTTACCTCTGCAAGTCCAAGAATGACCTCACTACAACACACTTGTAAGCTGTCTCTCCACATTCACATATCCTTCTTTCCTCTTCCACATTCCTGTCAATCTGTCTCTAATTTTATTGCACTTCTCTCTCTTCTAGTGCCAGCATACAACTACCAGCCTCCCTCCTTCTCTCTTCCCATCTCTATAAAATCATTTTTTATCACATCCCCCTCCCCCACCCACCATCTATTGTTCTATTACTCCCTCTCTTACCCTTCATCTATCAGTCCCAGTCTACTTGACAATCGAATTCTTGTCCTCTCACATCTCCTTTTACTGTCCATCAGCGGCTTTTTCCGGCTTGGTGCCTGTTCGGTGATGCAGATCAATGGGGAAGAGTAAACAGGGGATGGCTGGCCCTTGTACACTCAACCACTTTGGTTACAGGCAATTGCAATATCCACAGCATGTGTATGTATGTGTACATGTTTAGACCCACGCAGTATCCGTACAGTAAACCTTATTTCGTCAGTCTGAATGAAGTGAGAGTCATTTTGCTTAACATACAAAGCCATATGATGCAAACAGTTTTAGTTTAGTAGTAGTGGTTTATGTGTGAGCTGCAGGAATCTTACTGCATATTCACATAAAACCACCTAAAGCACAAACATGCAGAATCAACACAGGAGAGATTTCAGAAATAAGAAAATGTATCAGGCTCTCTGGCTATGCACCTATGCAGAAAACCATTCAAAACTCTCCTTTCAAACTCACTTACACTCTATTAAACACTCTCCCTGGCCCCCACCTCTCAGTCCGCCAGTCCAGGCCATGGGCGTCTGCCAGTCTACCTTCTGCCTGTGGTTTATTATTGCTAATATCACTATTCATCTAATGGTAACGTGGTCCTTTCATAACGACAGCACTGGCTCTGCTCAGACCATGCTGAAGGATCATAGGGAGTGAAGACTGTGTGATCTGTTTACCCCTGTTCAGTGGTTGCGTGCTGCCTTGGAGCGAGCCCGCAGTTTTCAATACACCATCACAGTGAAACCAGATCAGATGTTAACACAAGGTTCATGGGTTCATCCAGAACAGTGTGTTCGAAGTACTGGAGGATCCAAGACCAAGCTCACAGTGGCAAGTCAGTATGTTGCAGTTGCAGACATTGAATGAATCATGTTAACAGTGTTGCATAGTTGTACCTGCGTCAGGATCCTGGTTCAAACGAGCATAGCGGGAGTTGTCCAGGCGGGGTACACATTGCTCTATTGGGACCCAGGCATAGGTTTCTGGGCACAGGAGGTCTGAAGGCCGGTACTGCCCCTGGAGAACGAAAAACAGATAGAGAGAGAGAGGGTTATACCACCAAACCTGACACGCCACATGGTTTGTTACACATAAGCATTTGAGAGGCTGTCATTGGAAACTGTTGGGAAAAGAGTAGACACTATCAAAAAATACTTTGCAGGTGATTAGATGAACCATCTGTCTACCGCCTGCTCTTCTTGCATTGAGAAAAGCCTTTGGTGTCGTTCTTTGCTTTTCTTCCTATGAAATCTCAAGTACTGACAAAACTGATGCTATTGCATCTATGCTTAACTCTTTAGGAGCCACCATTTTTGTTTTGAACAAACAAGTTGACTTTCCTTTTTGTCACACACACAAACCAAGCCTGTAGCTGCCAGTAGCTCCTCAAAGGACGCTTGGTTGGTCCAAACCACTGGTAGTTCAGACACAAACAAATTACTTAAAGCCTGACAAGATGAATTTTTGGTTGATTTTATGATATTGCAAAAATATAGCTTTTGTACAAGGTAATACACCTCCTGCTGAAACAATTTATTATCATTTACCATAAATGACTGTGTTACATTATGACAATCATTTCACAGCACTTCAGGATTACAGCACCCGGCATACCAACACTTTATCCTGTTAAAACAATATTCGTAACTTGGGTTAATTTTATAAATGGACACATATTCTGACTTATGTAAGCTTCAGAGGAAGGGAGTCAACACTTGTTTTTTCGTCATGCCAGTAAATCTGAGTGAAATACAGTCTTCTCTGGTGCTCGTGGTTTTACTCAACGGGGCTAACATTTAAACATTTATATTTATATAGGTGATCTAAGCAGCTAACTAATGTTAGCTGCTTACTTCTATAAAAATGAACTGCTTGGCAAACAGACCAGGCTTCTATTTGAGACAGGCCTTTATTTTTTAAAATGCGTAGGCATACTTGGCTAGTAAAAGAGACTGGGCGTTTAATTGGAACCAGGCTTTAATTGAAGTTTTACGGTATTCAATCAAGTTCAATCTTAAAAATACAGGACACTGAAAAATGCCCAACATTTGCTTGTTACAGCCTCTTAAATGCCAGGAGTCCCTTCTATTTCTTTCTTGTATTGCCATAAAGTCAATACAGTTTGTCAGACACAACAAGCAATTTTAATAAATCATCTTGCTTTTTAAGTATATTAACAAATGTCTGACCTTTTATGTGCTAATTAATCTACAAACACTATTGAGAGATGAATTGATGATAAAATATAATCTGTTGTAGCCCTGGTAGCACCATTTTCACACTACACTGGTGACTTTTCCAGGTTAAAGGTTTGACAAGTTGTAAACTGACCTAAGGGTCAGGATGAGGGTTGAGACCCGGATCAAGCTCCGCTCTGTTAAAGTTCTTTGTTTAAGTCATGCTTCTCTGTGTCAGGAGTGTTATGTTGTCTGCGATACTGAGCAGGAAATATAAACACACCAGCGTATTGTAATGTGTGCTTTTGAAATGGGTACAAGTCTGTATTTGACCTAACATTTTGGATGGAAAGTAAACCAAGCTGAACGAAAACAGCTGCGGGGCAAAGGGGAAAAAAACGAGTGAGAGGTTGAATGAACAGAAAAGAGACTCTATTATCAGAGACCTGTGTTCTATCACACGGCACCAAACAAACACAAACTGCCGAGATAGCTCTGTAAACAAGGAGGCGCCTGCAACGAGCCCTGCTGCGCCATCTCATCACACACATAATAATATTTATCGTTGCTGAGATGTTAAACTGTAGGACAAAGACTCCAAAATTTCTTCAGCACCCTTTTTGTACACAACAGAGGTCAAAAAGTGCTGGACGATTAAACTCAGAACAAAAAGAGAAAAAAAAGAAAAAAACACAAAAGTCAATATGAACTCAAACTAAGCAAGACAAAGGAAATACCATCTCTGGTGCTCTGACCACGACCCATCTGTCAGTGGGCCTATATGGAAAATATGCTGCCTGTTTTTACACGCGGGGTAGGATGCCATGAGAATGAACTATGCTGCTTTACAGCTCTGACAAATGAAAAACAGAAGAATTTGGGGGATACACTCACAGTCAGGCTTTCCCCTCATCTGTAGCCACCCTTTCGCTCTGCGCCACAATTAAGTGAAGGGGTTCAGGAGGAAGGCCAGAAAGTATCATTAAATTCATACAGTCATACGGATCTAAACTAAGGTGCAGGCTACAAGAGGGAAAAGGCAGTCCAGAGTGAAGCAAAAGACATGCTTTAAGTGCTTCTGCTAACAGATGGATGGTGGTGGAATGCTGTGCATCTGTAGCTGCAATGGACACACACATTGATCGGATGCTCTCCATGTCCCAACAACCTAAAGCCTTCTACAACTGTCAGCGCAGTCAGCTTGACACTCTCACACTCTGCCTCACCTCTATAGAGTCCTTCAACACTACCTCTTAAAGGCAGAGCACACACCTGCCCGGCAGTAGAGACCAGAGGTGGGACCAAGCCATTGTTTTGCAAGTCCCAAGTAAGTCTCAAGTCTTTGCACTCAAGTCCAAAGTCAAACTCAAAACTAAACTTTATGTTTTGAGGCCTAAACAAGTCAGAATGTACTCTTCACCAAATGCAATGCTATTTTAACAAGCAATTTATTAAGTTTACAAAAATCATGAACACTTTTTAAAGTTTGTAGTTATTTGTTAAAACAAGTTTGTTGGAAGTTGTTGAACTCATTTTTTTGTTGACCACCACATAGTTTTTGTACGCACATGAAATTATCTTTGGTATCACTTTTGCTCAACTGCCACTCAGTAACAAAACGTTCATTCTTCGAGGTTTCTCCTTCAGCTTGACCAGATGCTGACAGATTGGTTTTGACAAAGTGGTTCTGGGATATTAAGTGTCCACTTGCTGCAAATGAATAACGTTTGTTACTCAGGAAAATAAAGGGAAATGAATTGATTTGTGGCACACTCTTAAAAACATACTTTTTAGTCTTTGGGCTTGGGTGAAAGTATCCAGTATTTTCAATTTAAGTGGCCCAAGTCCAAGTGAAATCACGAGTCATTGGTGTTGAGTTTCAAGTCTTTTATGATTTTGTCAGGTTGAGTCTCTAAATTTGTGACCCGAGTCGGACTCAAGTCCAAGTCATGTGACTCCAGCCTGTGTTTCCAGTAAAACACAGTGAGATGCACATACTTCCAACTTTAAGTCTCTGCACCCTGACATTGCACCTCAACCTAACCTACAGTGCAGAAATAGAGGTGTGAATAGAGTAGCCAGCCCTTAAATGGAAAGAGTGAGAAAGACAAAGAATAAAACAGGACACATCTTTAGGTAAGCTACTATTGTGTGGTTGCACGGGCATTTGTTGTTTCTGAAAGCATCTGTATTGTGTCTACAGTCCAAAATGATATATCCAACATGACAGACAGTCTGGTCATGGCACAGACACAATTTCTGAATTCTACCCTTGAAAAGAAAAAAGGATGATGAGAAGGACGGAGGAGTGTGAGAGGACACAGCTATTTGTGGTCTGGACAGAGGAGAGAGAAAAGAAAAAAGAAGAGGGGGAAGAAAAGCTTGGTTTGCCACAACCTATCTGTCAGCTTCTTTTCTTTAATGGACTGAAAGTGAAGACTGAGCTCACCACTGACTTTCTTTATCTTCCCTCTTATATTTTCCTTCCCCAGGTCGGGCTTGAAGGCCCTGTAATTCACAGTGACCCCTGCAGCTTCTTTTGGCTCTGCTTCAGACCCGCGTTTTCTGCTTTTGCGTCAGCTTGCTCACAATATCCATCTTTTTATCTAACAGTTACTTAGAGCAACAGAGAATGCAGTAATTGTATCCTGAAACTTAGATCCTAAAGAGAGAAGATTGATGTGCAAAGTGTAACAGCCAAGCTAATAGCTGGGAGGGAAATTGCCTATTCCTACAAATCTATCTATCCTGAGTGGCTGTTAGCTCAGCAAGTGGTGTGAGGAGGCCACAAGAGGTGATAGTGACTACATTTGAATAGCCAGAAAGCCATGTGATGAGGTTCTTTTGTGTTTGCATATGTGTGTTTTTGAATGTGTCCACTCAACTGCGTTGGAGGGCTACCCGACAGATAAACCAGGATGAGGCTTTCCAGACGAAGAACATCTTTTTGGTCTGGTCCTCCTCTCTTTAGTGGTTCTATTCCTCCCTTTCTAAATGCTCAGAGCCTCCCCTCACAAACCAATCCATCACCATCCCTCCATCCTTCCCTCCTGTCTGTGCTTGCATGTTGAGACGGACACAGAGGTGATGCTGATGAATGACAACCTCTGAAAGGCTCGTTTAGAGGGACGGAAAGCAAGACGGAGGATGAAAAAACAAGTGGAGAGAGAAGGAAACATGTACAAACTTCAGCGGATAGACTTGGCTGCCGTCAGAGGTGTGAGAAACGAGAGGGAGATAGGACAAAGACAGGGAGGGACGAGAGAAAATTAGGTGCAGATGGGTAACGGGATGGTATTTAACGTCACTGAGACATGGACTGAGGCGAGCTGATGGAAGTGATAGGAGCAGTCTGAGTGCCAGGACGGAGGGGCCCAGCACTGAGAGAGGATGTTGGAAGTCAGGGATGAAGAGGGAGGGCTTGGAAAGAGACAGAAATGGGAGGAAGAGCTAAGTAGACAGAGGGTAAGCTGGCGACGAGAGAAAAAACAGATGGATCAGCGAAATAAAGAGCTGCATTCAATAGAAGCCACATAAAACAAAATGGAAACTGTACATCTACAAGTAAGAGAATGAACTCAGTCATCCAAATCTATTTCTTGCAGTGTGCTTGTTAATTAATGTGCAGAGGTCACTGTTTATAGGAAAGCAATCTTCTACAGTGCCAGTTTCCCAATGAACTGAACTTTAACAAGACAGAAGGGAAAATTACTCAACCTCATTTGAATAACAAGCTTCCCTAGAGTAAACAATTACATACCCTCAATCATCACAAGCAAATAAACATATCTATGCACGGCTTGACATGCAGTTACACAATACTTTGCTAGTCTATTATCA